AGCTGCAGATCCCAAAGCAGCAGTACAGGACAAAAAGAGCCAATCATCGCTGAGCGGGTCCTGGGTTCAAGTCCCCGGGGGAACCAGGACCTTTCTGCCAGATGGTTCTGGGTTCGAGTCCTGGAGGAACCAGGACCTTTCTGTTGCCAGCGGGTTCTGGGTTCAAGTCCCTGCGGGCACCAGGACCTTTCTGCCAGAGGGTTCTGGGTTCAATCCCCAGGGGAACCAGGACCTTTCTGTGACCAGAGGGTTCTGGGTTCAATCCCCGGGGGGCCCAGGACCTTTCTGTCAGAAGGTTCTGGGTTCGAGTCCTGGGGGAACCAGGACTTTTCTGGGTGGAGGGTTCTGGGTTCGAGTCCCGGGGGAACCAGGACCAGAGGGTTCTGGGTTCAAGTCCCCAGGGGAACCAGGATCTTTCTTTCAGAAGGTCCTGGGTTCGAGTCCCGGGGGAACCAGGACATTTCTGCTAGAGGGTTCTGGGTTGGAGTCCCAGGGGAACCAGGACTTTTCTGCCAGAGGGTTTTGGGTTGGAGTCCCGGGGGAATCTGGACCAGATGGTTCTGGGTTGGAGTCCTGGGGGAACCAGGACTTTTCTGCCAGAAGGTTCTGGGTTTGAGTGCCCGGGAGAACCAGGATCTTTCTGCCAGAGGGTTCTGGGTAACGAATCCCAGGGGAACCAGGACTTTTCTAGGTGGAGGGTTCTGGGTTCGAGTCTCAGGGGGAACCAGGACCTTTATGTGGCCAGCGGGTCCTGGGTTCAAGTCCCTGGGGGAACCAGGACCTTCAAGATAATGAATGGATCTCCGTTCTGTTGCAGAGCTCCAGACCCAGAACCCGGAACCAGGAACGTGTCCTACCCGGGAGGGCGACGGCGGCCTGGGGACGCCGTGGGAGGAGCCCCACAGGCCCCGCCCAGTGGGCGGAGCTCTGGAGCATCAGATGGAGTGCGTGGCGGCGTGATTTCACCTCGCAGAGACTGAACGAGGCACAAAGAAGGAAAAGCAGAGTGACACAGATGAGAGGTTAGCTGTTGTTTAGGGACCCGTTTCCA